ACCACACATTCCTTGTGAAACAGAATCACGTTTTACATGTTGCATATTAATATCATTAAAACACTCACAGTTATCGTGTAAACCACACATTCCTTGTGAAACTTTATTATTGGTAATATTACATTGTGCTCCAAAACTGTATATTTTGTTGTTCGCGTTCGTTAGTGGTGGTGGTGGTGTGTCGTGGTTGTTGTGGGTGTTGCGGTTATTTGTTTTATTGACAACATGATGATGATGGCGATGAAAATGATGGCACCTGTGATAATGAAGGTGATGGTGATATATACATACATAAATGTTTTAATGTGTCAGTCTTCTAGCACTGATCGGGGACACTAATGATGATGATAACTATGATAAAGAAAATGATTTACTGAAGTCGTAGTTGATTCTGGTGATGGTGGTAATGTTGATAATGATGGTGATGATGGTGGTGATCTTGGCGGTGGTGGTAGTGTGGTGATGATGGCGGTGGTGTTGATAATGATGGTGATGATGGTGGTGATCTTGGCGGTGGTGGTAGTGTGGTGATGATGGCGGTGGTGTTGATGTTGATGGTGGTGGTGGTGATGGTGGTTATCTTGGTGATGTTGATGGTGGTGGTACTGATGGTGGTGTTGGTGATGTTGATGGTGGTGATGGTGGCAATGATATTTAAAAATGCTTCTTACTAAAGCCACTCCCTTTTTATCACAGTTTTCAAACATCTAACAGCATACATAATATTTTTAGTGAAATCAACCGAGCTATTCGTATGACGGAGGCGAACTACGAAAACATGATGTACCGTGAGGCCTTGAAGACCGGGTTTTACGAGCTCCAAGCAGCACGTGACAAGTACAGAGAAGTGTGCACTAAAGGCATGCACAGAGATCTTGTGTTCAGATTCATCGAGGTAGAAAATCACCTGCTTATTTTTTCACTGAGAATAATTCAATGTTATCAAATCCTTAAAAACCCTGGACAGATCTAAGTCAGGGCACCGTATAGTAGTAATAAGTTATGCGTTCGGTGTGTATATTATGAAGTAGAGAGAATAAGAGAAAAATATCAAATGCCCTTGGCAGGATTCGAACCCACGTAATAACTTATAACGCATAACTTATTACTACTATACTATGTCTAATCTTTGCGTACATATTTACGGTGTTCAACTTATCTATAGAGAAAAAATATCGCTCTGGGATCCTCACGATTACCCTACATTTCATATTCTGGCTGCGTTACCAGCGTGGTTGGTCCTTGTAGTGTAGTGGTTAACACATCGGACTAGAATACCGAAGTCAGGGCACCGCTAACTCACAGATCGAACCCCGAAACAGCCTCTGGGCTGATCTAAGTCTGGGCATAGCAAACTCACAGATGGAATCCTGAAACAACCTCTGGGTTGACCTGATTTCCGAGGGAACCAGTGGCTAGCAAACCTGTGCCCTCATTCCCTTATCAAATTGGAATTTAGAAAATGGCCAGAGAACCCGGAGAAATGCGCTCAAATTACGAGAGAAAGCCAACAAGGTACTTTACTGAAATGTGAAAGCGATCAGTACCATCACAGCGTTAAGAGGTGGCGCATTAGCAACGCACACTACCTATGATTCCCTTAAGTCATGATCAGTACCATCACAACGTTAAGAGGTGGGGCATTAGCAACGCACACTACCTATGATTCCCTTAAGTCACGATCAGTACCATCACAGCGTTAAGGTGGGGCATTAGCAACGCACACTACCTGTGATTCCCTTAAGTCACGATCAGTACCATCACAGCGTTAAGAGGTGGCGCATTAGCAACGCACACTACCTGTGATTCCCTTAAGTCACGATCAGTACCATCACAACGTTAAGAGGTGGGGCATTAGCAACGCACACTACCTATGATTCCCTTAAGTCATGATCAGTACCATCACAGCGTTAAGAGGTGGGGCATTAGCAACGCACACTACCTGTGATTCCCTTAAGTCACGATCAGTACCATCACAACGTTAAGAGGTGGGGCATTAGCAACGCACACTACCTGTGATTCCCTTAAGTCAGGGCATAGAAATAAAATGTAGAGTTTTGGTTTTGCGTAAACTGATTCGATAAGCAGTGATATCGCACTGTCATTGGTCCAAAGGATGCCTTCAATTACGTGCCGTGCCGTTTGACATAGATACGAAATCTCAGATGGTTCACGTATGTAAGTCTGATGTTGTTTCTTCATGATATTCAGGTCCAGACACTCCTGCTCTCTCCCATTTGTCCCCACCTTTGTGACCACATCTGGCGAAAGATAGACAAAGTGAGTTTAATATATATATTTTTTAAAAGCGATGACTGAGTAAGAAGTATTGATACAATGACCGGCTCGATTGGATGCGTTGATCATGCTTTTTACTGCCATCACGAGTTTGTTTTAAAACCTATCCTCAAATAACCTTTGAATAAAAAAAAATTTATCAAAGTTTTAGGTTGTTAGAAAATTTAAAAATATCCTTACTTCTGCTCTTTCTTTTTATTTATAAATCCATGTAAATCAATAGTCCACTTCCGATATATGCTACGCTTGTCACACAGAAAAGATTTTAGTACGAGGCTACGTACGAAATTAAGTTGTTTTTTTTTTCATTTTTCATGAATCACTTAGCATTATGCCTCGCATTTAAACATTTGTGCTTGACATGCGAATCATATCTCGGTAGTGGACTATTGGAATCAATTTTAGGATTCTTGCAGATAAACCAATGCAGCTTAACCTAGATAGGTTGTGCTGGTTAGTATATATTTTAATATTTAACGACTTCTCTAATCTTCACACCTGTTCTTCGTTTTGTTGTATTGTAGAGTGGAAGCATCGTGGACGCGTCATGGCCTGTTATCGGAAAAGAAGACGAAGTTCTCTTACAAGCATCTGCATACTTRGAGAATATTACTCACGATATGCGACTGAGGATTAAGAACTTAATAGCACAACAGGCCAAGAAGGTAAAATATATATACTATCTCGTATTCCACAGCGAAAACTGTGCAATTGCCGCGCGTGGCGTCATTGGTAACAGGGTTAGTTCTGATGGATGTTGCAAGGAGTTTTAGAATGTCACTCCGACAAATCATGCATCGTAAAACATCACATGACCCGGCCAACAGCGCTTAAAATGAACATGTTCCGTTAGCTGACAGCTTAATAATAATAAAGCTTTGTTACAGTAATGACGTCGATTGGTATTAACAGCTCACCACAAGAGAATACAACAAAAGATGAATTAAGACGACACATCGATCAGCTTTAACCATAAAAGAAAGACAAACACACGAAACTCTAGATATTTTCCGTCATCTTTGTTTTGTTTTGCCTCCTGGCAAGATGGCCGTCGTATTGTTGAAGTAGTCCTTTATAATGTCATGTTTTCTTATTCACAGCACAAGGGAGGCTCACCACCACCCAAGCCAAACCATGGTGTCATCTACGTGGCTAGTTCATTCCCTGCCTGGCAGCACACTACACTCACGATCATGAAGAATCTGTACAATGCTAACAATGGATCGTTCCCAGACAATCGAGAGATTATGACCGCTCTGAAAGATAAACCAGAGGTTAAGAAATACATGAAGAAGCTGATGTCTTTTGTGCAGTTTGTGAGGGTAAGTGAACGAGGCTAAACCTCATAYGTACATTTTTTGTAATCATCACCATCATCTTCATCATCAACTTCTAAATTTCCAATTCGAAAAGAATGATTTAGTTGATAATGTAACTTGAATGTAGCACTGTCGTGTGATTAGATAGGGAACAATTACTTGGTTTTTTATTTATTCAGAACAAATCCAATGATACCAAGTCCACTTCACTTCACTTCATCTTTCTTTCATGTGTTTTTTAGGGCAGTGTGGAAAAAGATGGATTGTCAGCCATGGACACAACTCTGCCATTTGACGAGAAACAAGTTCTGCTTGATAATCAACAATACCTTGAAAAATCCCTAGGGGTAAGTAATGATTTATATTGCTACTACCACCAGGGCTTTCCATACTTGTTATTCACCAAGTGCTTCTTGTTTTCTTTCTTGCAGCTGTCACGTGTTGAAATCAAATCATCCAGTGAAGCAGATGCAAAAATCCAAGAAGATTCAGCTCCTGGGAAACCAATTACAGTGTTCACGACTCAAGAAGGTTTGGTAAGTTGAGAAAAGTAGAAAGAAAAATAGTCTTCATGAATGATACATGAACTTTATTCATGCAGCAACTATGTTGACTTGAACAATAGATTCTCCCCACCAAGCCGTGCATTCGGCTGTAGGTTTTCCCAGTCAGGCGTTTCAGGACGAGGTAACGCGGGTCTTAAACAAAAGATTTTACCTTAATGGCACTGTCTAGTGATGGCCATTAATTCATTTACAAGGAGTGGTTACAGGCGTCCAATAAAGAGATTAAATGGAGCAATGTTTCTCAAATTGTTTTCCTATGCTTTATCTTTGTGTCGTTTTTTCAGACAAATGGCATTGCAAACGATGTTGACAAGACTCCTCTGGCCGCAGACACAACTCCTCTTGTGACCCCTGTATGTAGATACGTCAATGTTCAGCTAGTAGGGACAAAACCAGCTTGTGGAGCCAAAGGACAAATTGCTACAATACTACTGGAGAATCCTAAGGGAGAGTTTATTCTTACTCAACATCAGTTAGTTGATCAGGTTAGTGTATATTCGTATGTGTTTCGCACTTTATCTTTTGCTTAATAGACGTTTAACAACTTGGTATTCAACCTTTTTTGTTAAATCAGGTTAAATCTGTGTTTGGGCTTCGTGATAGGAAGCTAGCGCTGTGCTCTTCTTCAGCATGTGATGAAGGTTAGCCTATTTATACATCATTGCCATCCACAGTTACAGATATAGTGATTTCACTTTATCTCCTTCTCTACACCTCTTTTCTCGTTTGTTATTTCCCTATACGTTTATTATTTCCCTATAAGATTGCCGTTACCGATGTTAGATCATGTGCTGTATTCTAAAAATCTCCTCTACTTGCCTCCAAGATCATCATAATTTCCAACCATTAAAGTTACCTAAAAACCATGTATTATTTTATTTTTTCAGTTCTCAGTGGAGAAGTTCTACATCTACATGGCAAGACTATCTATGCATGTATCAAAATATAGTTAATTTTACTCTGTACAGGTAGACTGCAAACCATATATCCGTGTGAAAAAGTTAACAAAATTACGTACAAATTAGTGCAAAGTTTTAAAGGTATACAATCTACTGAGGTCTACTGAACTTACTAATTTGTGTGGCTTTGTACAACGTTTTCACGAATATATTGAATGCACTCCTAGTGTCCATGTCATAAATAACAAGCACAAGTAAAATCAACAGAATTCATCGTGACTTTATTGAAAACCATTTTGGCGTTCCAGTTGCCAGACTTCGATTCTAAGAAACCACTTTGAATACGGGTGCTAAGCAGCCAAGCAATATTTTCTCTTCGAAGACAACCTCGTATTTTTACATAGAAATGTAGTCAAATCATTATTACATTACAGTTTCCTTTCTTAAACACTTCTATTCATAGCCCAGTAACTTTGCTTCCAAAACAAGATTAACACATAGGTAGTATAAATCGTCTGTCAAAAACTTATTCTCAGTTTAAAAACTTTAATGGAATACATGCTTCCTATCAACTTATCTCTGCAGTATAATAAAATATATCAAATAGCTACTTCATCAGACTCTATTTATTCTCCCCTCTTAAACATATCATAACTGAAAATAAATCAAAACCATAGGCTATAGTCAGTGCTTTTTGCTCAAAAATGGCCAAAAATGACCTATTTTG